CCACACCTCCTTACTCAGTCTCGTGGTTGCCTTCAACATCCTCATCTCCACACCCTGAACCTGGCTCCTTGATAGCTCACTTCACTAGAAACAGAATGTACAGAGGAAGTCCAACAGATCCTCCTTAGCAGTCGGAGAACATCCACACGCAAAACTTACCTGTTCAAGTGGTGTCGATTCTCCACCTGGGCTCACCTCCACAATCTTGACCCATCTTCTGCTCCATTACCCATGGTCCTGCAATGCATAACCCTAATCCCCTAACCCTAACTCAAAAACTCAGGATTTTCACTTAGTTCCCTAAAGGTTCACCTCTCCGCTATTACTGCCTTACATCAACCATTAGACACCAAGTTGCTGTCTGCACATCCCACTACCAAAAAGTTTCTCAAGGGTTTGTAGAACATTTAACAGCTGTGAGCTTCTAAACAGGGTTTGAAATCTAGATGCCTCCGTTCATTGATTGAGCCTTAGCCCCGCCCCCGATTATCAGGAAGGCCATGGCTTTATAAAGCAGTGAGTCAGCGAACAGGCAGCAAACAGCAAACAAAGGCAGTTTTGAGAGGGAGTTTGGAAAGGGAGTGGGAAGGCGGAGAGGTACACTTGCCATTCTTTAAAACCTTTAAACTAAACTATAATCAAAACTTCCTGACTTAAATAAAAACCTATCAATAACCTAGGTAGCTGTAGGAGACAATGCAGACAGAAGCCCATCAGCTGAGTGGGGGCTATCCTATTTATTGCAGTCAAATGTAGAATGTCTGATTACCTGCTCTGTGGTCATGTGGTATATGTGTATGTGTGCGTTTGGTGCAAGGAATTCCTGGCCCTCAGAGACCATGTACGAGCTTTGGAGGCCAGGGTGGCTGAACTGGAAGAGCTAAGGGAGGTTAGTAATGGGAGATTCAATCATTAGAAACATAGCTGGGTTTGCGATGACTGGGATAATCGTATGGTGACTTGCCTACCTGGTGCAAAGGTTGCAGATCTCTCCAGGCATCAAGATAGACTTATGTGTAGTGCTGGGGAGAAGCCGGTGGTCATGGTACATGTAGGTACCAATGACATAGGGAAGGGTAGGAAAGACGTCCTGGAGGACAAATTTAGGCTGCTAGGAAAGAGACTGAAATCCAGGACCTCTATTGTGGCATTCTCAGAAATGCTTCCAGTTCCACGCACAGGGCCAGGTAGGTAGGCAGAGCTTCAGAGTCTCAATATGTGGATGAGACGATGGTGTAGGGAGGAGGGGTTTAGATTTGTAAGGAACTGGGGAAACTTTTAGGATGGGGGAGCCTATACAGGAAGGATGGACTCCACCTAAACCAAAGAAGATCCAAACTGCTGGCACTTAAACATTAAAAAAGGTTACAGAGCAGTTTTTAAACTAAGAGATGGGGGAAAGCCGATTGGTGCAGAGGAGCACGTGGATTGGACAGAGACTTCTCTTAGAGAAGAGGATTGATAGAGATTGTCTAGGTTTTAGTCAAGAAGAGAGGACGGAAGAAGATAAAGTGTGGGCCAGATCAGATGAGAAACATTCACATAAAAAAGAATCTGACACATCAGAAAAGGGCAGACAAATAAACAGTGAAAAGTTTTTAAAGTGCTTTCACACAAATGCTAGAAGTCTAAATAAGATGATCTTGGAGTTATCGTGGATAGTTCTCTGAAAACTTCCACACAGTATGCAGCGACGGTCAGAAAGGCAAATAGGATGCTAGGAATTATTAAGAAAGGGATAGAAAATAAGACACAGAATATCTTACTGCCCCTGTATAAAACTATGGTACGCCCACATCTTGAATACTGTGTACAGATGTGGTCTCCTCACCTCAAAAAAGATATTTTGGCCTTGGAAAGGGTTCAGAAAAGGGCAACTAAAATGATTAGGGATTTGGAACAGGTCCCATATGAAGAGAGGTTAAAGTGACTGGCACTTTTCAGTTTAGAAAAGGGGAGACTAAGGGGGGATATGATAGAGATATATAAAATCATGAGTGGTGTGGAGAGGGGGAATAAAGAAAAGTTATTTATTACTTCCCATAATAGAAGAACTAGAGGACACAAAATGAAGTTAATGGGTAGCAGGTTTAAAACTAATAAAAGAAAGTTCTTCTTCACACAGCGCGTAGTCAACCTGTGGAACTCCTTGCCAGAGGAGGCTGTGAAGGCTAGGACTATAACAGAGTTTAAAGAGAAGCTAGATAATTTCATGGAGGTGAGCTATTAGCCAGGGAACCGAAATGGTGTCCCTGGCCTCTGTTTGTCAGAGGCTGGAGAAGGATGGCAGGAGACAAATCGCTTGATCATTGTCTTTGGTCCACCCCTTCTGGGGCACCTGGTGCTGGCCACTGTCGGCAGACAGGCTACTGGGCTAGATGGACCTTTGGTCTGACCCAGTACGGCCATTCTTATGTTCTTATGTTCTTATGTTCACAATGATCCCAATCTTTGTAAGCAGAAGCTCAAATTAGAAAACATTACCTTTAGCACTTCCTTTAATATGGTACCTTCAAGTTAGCAGTAGTGTGTACCTGCTGTATTTTCTTCAAACAAATCAGTAGTGATGCATGTTTTTATTAAACATGTAAAATCATAATTTTGAAAATTAACATCTTGTATTAAACTCCCTGAAAACAACAGCAGTATGCCATTCTCCTCCATTATGACTAAAATATTTTAATAACTTGTGCTTAAGCTATACAACATTAGTCTGTTTCCCAAAAGAGGATGGATAAATACATCTCCCCATGGGTCTAGTTAAGTTTGTAGTGTCAATATGCCTACATGCAGCTTTACCAATCTAATTCTTGGTTGTAGACAGTGCTGTGTTGATAGGAGTGCTTCTCTTAACATAGCTACTCCCTGTTGGGGAGGTGGAGTACTTGTGCCACTGGGACAAGCTCTTCCATTGGTATAGGTAACATCCTGACTAAGAGCAGCTGCAGTGCTGTGGCAAGCCTTTTGTACCACAATGACATTTCTTCCCTGCTCCCTCTAGACGTGGGTTTTTCATTCCAATGTTCCTGGACTGTGTGTATTGTATTTTTTAACATTGTAGGTAGGTCCACACTGATCAGTCATACATAGAAAGCTAAACTGTCCCATTTCTTACAACATTTAGGACATCCCCAAGTTTAGATTGGTGAGTGAGCAGATTTTCAGAAGTGCTGTAAGGACTCTGGAGTTGCAAGTGACTAGAACTTCTGAAAATCATGTTCTGAAGTTACTTCAGCTTGAAGTTCTTGCAACCTATAATAGACTCGTAGACTTTAAAGTCAGAAGGGACCATTATGATCATCTAGTCTGACCCCCTGCACAGTGCAGGCCACAGAATCTCACCCACCCCTCCTAGAATAATCCTCTCACCTATATTTCAGATATTGAACCCTTCAAATACTTTGAAGACCCCAAGATGCAGAGAATCCTCCAGCTGTGATCTGTACCCCATGCTACAGAGGAAGGTGAAAAATAGTGTGTGGTAACTGTACTGCCAACTGCTTAAATATGTTACAACAGAAGAAAACACAGAAATAAATATAATTTTAAATAAATATAATTTAGCAGGCTGTAACATGCTCCTCTTAGGAATCCTTTGTAACACAACTTCATTGTGGGTATTTGAACTCCCTCTCTAGAGCAATTTCATTTACTCAAGAAAAATGACCCAAATGGAACTACTGACTTGAAAGGTTCAGAATAACCTCATCTCTTACAGTAAATGCAAAGATAGGTTAAAAAACACTTATAAATAGGAAAAGGGGATTTTTTTATCACCATTTTGGAACACTTGGAAACAACTTTCAACTAGAGACAGGCTACATGCTCATATTGTGATAAGAATGAATTGAACAGCTGCAGGAACCACATTTAATCAGAACAAGAAGAAGTTAAAAGGGTCTTATAATTGATTTAAATAATGTTGCAGGTCTGGATCACTACACAATGAGACTAGAAAATTCAATTTCTATTAAGAATTCAAATTCCACTGGTTTAATTATAGTTAAATAGATGTCAGGACTATCAAAAATACATATGTGAAGCATCTATTTCATGCCACTACAACGATTTCATCTCATTCTTCAAGAAGAAAAGACAAGAATGTGGTAAAATAATAATTGATTCTATTTGCATTGTCCATCTATGCTCCTTTAGTTACCCATAGTCCCATGCTGGATCTGGGATGATAGACACTCCCAGCTGGTGCTATTCTTCATCATAAAGTTTTGAGGAATAGCAAGATACCTACTTTGACTTAGTGATCCCTTCATACCAGTTGACAGGGGGCACAGTGGATGCATAGAGTTTTACAGGGATCCCCTAGATTAGATATCTACATAATATTTTAGAAAAGCTTAGCATATGAGGTCTCTACCAAGAGCCAGTAGTCCTCTCATTGTCATAATCATTTCAAAATGTATGTAAAGCTCATACCTGGGAGGCATACCTGGGAGGTCGACGGCGGAGTGTCCAGACTACTGCGCTGAGCTGACAAACAGCTGATCAGCTCAGCACGGCAGCCGTTTAAATTTAAATGAAGCGGCGATTATTTAAATCGCTGCTTCATTTTCCTATGCCGGGTAGTCTAATCTATATGCCTCTGTCACCAGAGGCATGTAGTCTAGACATACCCTTTAGGTCTTCGAGTTAATGCAGATCACTTGTGACCTAGGCACGTCTACAGTACACGGAAGATCGACGCTTCCAGGGTTCAATTTAGAGGGTCTACTATAGACCCCCATCAGTGTTGGTACTCCTGTTCCTCGTAAGGAGTAAGGGAAACTGATGGGAGTGTTTTCTCTCTGTGATGGTCTCCTTTCTCCTCCCCCCCATCCCCCACCCCGGCTTTACAAAATGGACTTATGAACACAAAATGCATAACTCAAAGATGCTTTGGACAAAATACCCCATATAAAATATCAATTTTAATGTCATAATCTGCTGGATCTGTATATCTTATTTTGGCTTTGGCTGGCATGTCAGTCTCAAGAGAATGAACTATGGACCCAGGGAAAAAAGATCTTTTGGCTAAAATAGGAACAGGGTGAGTTTGAAATAAGCTTGAGTGTATGTTAGAACTAGCTGTGCATTGTTTTTGTCATTTTAAATTTGTGATTCACTTTGCTCTGCCTGTTTTCACTTGCAACCATTTAAATTCTCCTGCTTGTACTTAATAAAATCACTTTTATTTACCATCAAGGCAAGTGTAAATAATTGTTACCTGAGGGAGCAATCAGTGTGTACATCCCCCTTACATTGTCAAAGAGGACTTACCAAAATAATTTATTTGGGGCAGACCCGGACGCCATCTTGCCTGTGAAGGACCCACTGCTGCCATGGTTGTGTCCCTGCTGCTTTGCTCCCGCCTTCCGTGTATGCCTTGCACTCGCATGCACATGCACTCACACCTGCCAGAGAGCCCCAGGAGGCCACTGGAGTCTGTCATTGGCCTGAGCACCTTCATCCTGGTGTTGGCAGGACTCCGTCCAGTCTGGAGTGCTACAGGAAGCATGACTGCTGGCTGGACTCCCTGTGCTGCTGGTGAGGCACGGTCTCCATTCCACATTTGGCCCGCTAATTTATTTTGTGACCTGTGTGGAGCAGTGACTGGCTTCCATGTGGGAGTGACTTGTATCTATTAAATATACCCTGTTACAGACACTGGGGGGAAAAAAAAGAAAAAAAGGAAATGCCATCCCAGACACTGCACCCTCTTTCTCCCCCCTCCTTCCTCTCCACAAGACCCTGCACCTCCAGCCTGCTCCTTCCCTCTTTTCCCTGGTCAGACACCTACCCGCCAGCCTCCTCCTCTCCCCTCTCCTCTGGTCAGACATCTACCCCCCAGTCTGTTCCTGCCCCCTCTTCCTTAGCCAAACATCCTACTGCCAGCCTGCTCCTATCTCCGACCCAAACCTCATCCCCTCCTGCACTCTATCTCTTGCCCAGATCCTTCACCTCCATCACTATCCTACTCACTGGCAGCTCTGTCCCACACACTGGATCCCTCATTTTTGGCTCCACCTCAGAGCCTAGGGGAGTGACAAAACCCACTAAGCCTGGAACCCCAGAAATATTAATCTGGCCTGAGGCCTTGAACCTAAGTCTTCCCTGTTCCCTTCTACCCAATGGGGCCGGAGTGCCAGGGGAGTGAGGTGTCTCAGTTGGGGGCCACATCAGTGAGGGTTGGGGATTTTTGGAGGTTTTTTTTTTTTTTTGCTTCTCACTTGTGTGGTCCGCAACTGATTTTTCTGGGGGTCAGTGGTCCTGACTCCCAAAAAGATTCTCCATCCCTGCCATAAATAAAGACAATGTTGTAACATTTTGTGTTGAACATAATTTATTTAAAACTGAAGCCTGGCCAACAAATCCCAAATTAGGGCCCAGCCCCCATCTGGCTGCAGCATCATAACACTCCTGCACTCCCCACACCCTAGCCCTAAGCCCATCATACACCTGAACCCACCTACTCTGAGCCCCCCCATGCCACCACATCTCAAGGCTCCTGCACCCCCATATCCTCAGTCCATCATAACACTCCTACACCCCCCCACTGCAACCCTGTGCCCATCATACACCCGACCCAGACTCCTGCACCCCCACATCCCAAGCCCCCTGCTGTAACACTGCTGCACCCCCACACACCTTGTGCTGTGTCCATCATACAACCAAACCCCCTGCCCTGAGCCCCTCCCTGAGCCCAACCCAGACTCCTGCACACCCACATCCCCAGCCTCGTGCCATAAGATTGACAGAAGACCGCCTGAATGCCTGCACGAAGCTGGATTTGACCGGTTATAATGTAAACGTCAAAGACACATGTGAAAAAGTCCCATGACATAGAGTGAAACAAAATACAGGACTATGTAGCACTTTAAAGACTAACAAGATGGTTTATTAGATGATGAGCTTTCGTGGGCCAGACCCACTTTCTCAGATCAAATAGTGGAAGAAAATAGTCACAACCATATATACCAAAGGATACAATTAAAAAAATGAACACATATGAAAAGGACAAATCACATTTCAGAAAAGAAGGGGGATGCGGGGATTGGGGGGGGAGGTAAATGTCTGTGAGCTAATGGTATTAGAGGTGATAATTGGGGAAGCTATCTTTGTAATGGGTAAGATAGCTAGGGTCTTTGTTGAGATCCACATGTCGAGTGTCAAATTTTAGCATGAATGACAGTTCAGAGGATTCCCTTTCAAGTGCAGATGTAAAAGGCTTCTGAAGCAGGATGCAGGTAATTAAGTCGTTGAGAGAGTGTCCTTTCTGGTTGAAATGGCAAGAAACTGTTTTTTCTTTGTGATCCTGTCTGATATCTGTGTTGTGGGCATTGATCCTTTGGCGAAGTGTCTGAGTGTGTGAGTACAATGTTCCATTTATGCTCTTATTAATCCTCATGTCAATTAAAAAATTCCATGAAGCTGCATATTTTCAGGCATGCAAAGGGACATTCTTATGAAAGGGCTCCCTGTCCCCCACCAAGAAACTGTTTTTTCTTTGTGATCCTGTCTGATATCTGTGTTGTGGGCATTGATCCTTTGGCGAAGTGTCTGAGTGTGTGAGTACAATGTTCCATTTATGCTCTTATTAATCCTCATGTCAATTAAAAAATTCCATGAAGCTGCATATTTTCAGGCATGCAAAGGGACATTCTTATGAAAGGGCTCCCTGTCCCCCACCCCTA